AGAGACAGAGAGAAAGGTCTTCCATCCACTAGTACACTTCCCTTTCCACTCTAGCAAAGGCCAGAGCTTTGCCAATCTGAAGCCAGGAACCTGGAGTTTCTTCTGAGTCTCCCATGGGGGTGCTGGGGCACAAGCACTTGGGCCATCTTCTGCTGCTTTTCCAGGCCATAGCAGAGAGCTGGATTGGAAGAGGAGCAGCAGGGACACGAACTGGGGCACATACGGGATGCCAGCGCAGCAGGCGGAGGCTTAGCCTACTACACCACAGCACCGGCCCCTTTTGGGTTATTTTAGAAGCTTCATAATGGGACAAACAAGTGTTAAGAATCATAGAAATGCGTGCATAATTTCCATTATGAGATACAATTCAGAGAAAAGATAGATGATGCCACAGAATGAGAGAGGGCTTGGGAAAAACTTGCCTTGAGTTTGATGCCTGAGCTGCGATCTAAAAGAAGAGCAGGAATTGACCAGATGCAGTAGAGGAGAGAAGAGCATTGCAGACAGGGAGAACATGGTGGGAATATGGCGATAGATGAAAGTCTCCTTTTGGGCAGGCATTTCGTGGAGCTTCAGATGTATGTGTTGCATATTGAAGTGCCTGGAGTGCGGTCCCATCTCTACTTCTTTCCAGGTTCCTGCAAATGCACATCTTGGGAGCAGATGATGGCTCAAGTACTTGGGTTCCTGCCACCCAGGTGGGAATTTAGGATTAAGTTTCTGGTTCCTGGCTTGGCCTGGCCCAGTCTCAGCTACTGTTGATATTTGGAGACCTTACACTCTCCTCTCCCCTCCCCTCCCCTCCCCTCCCCTCCCTCTCTGCCTTTCCAATGAAATGGAAACAAATAATTTGTGAAGTCTCCTCTATGGCTAAAGTAAATAGAGCACTTGACCAGAAAAAGGTCATTCTAGTAAGGAAGATACAAGACAGGCATGCAAAACCTTACAGGTCATCATATTAGCCAGCTTGCTGGTTAATATGCAGTACGCTGCTAGGGAAAATGGAATGGTTGACATGATCAGATGAGTATTCTGAGACAAGTGCTTCAGATGCAATATGCAGAAGAGATTAAAGCGGCATTATGCAGCATTACTTCTGTTTCAATTAACAAAGTTCCCAACCATACTATTGTCCTTTGTTGGCTCCAAAACTTGAAAAAGCAGATAGGCAGACATTTTAGGAGCTGGTTGCTCAATGATGTTTTCAGGAACAAATCTCTCTGCATCATAGCTCTGATTTCTCCTGTGCTGGTTTTATTGCTAAGCAGGACCTCCCCTCCTGGGAGTGAGGAGACAGCTGATAGGCTAGAGGCAAACATTTCGATGTTACCACCCCAGAAGAAAGAGAATTCCGTTTTCCTTACAGTTTTAGCCAATATCCCAGGACTAACACTCACTGAAAAACATGGGTAACTTGTCCATCTGTGAAATAAATCATTCTGGCTATGAAAGGAGGATATGCTCATGGTCAGGGATGAATAATTTGTTCACTTCTAGAGTCAACTGGTACCATCAACTGCACCTGACTGACATGAGATAAGGAAACACACAGTTCCCATAGAAAACTTGGTTGCTATCACTAGATGGAGGACAGGTTAAGAGGATCTTAAGATATTCCTGGCGAGAGATAGCCAGAGTTTGGACTAAGGGTATAGATTTGAGAGGTATTTACAAGAATGAATTCATAGGATTTGTGTGATGCATTAGACAAGATGGTAAGGGAGATGAAAAGAGAGAAAACAGGAATATGTCCTAAATTTTATATTTATACAACCGGTGATGTCATTCAATGTAATAGTCAATACCAGAAAGGAGCCAGGTTTAAAGAAAGGGGAAAGATGATATATCTACTGGAAGATATTGAGTTGAAGGTAAGGTACCATTGAGACTTCCAAGAGATTTTAAAAATGCTGTTGAATACACAAGGTTACTTCAAAAAGTTAATGGTGGGGTGGTCATTTATTCCAGTGGCCAACAATGGAGCACTTGCAATCAATTCTCAGCTCTGGCTCCTGACTCCAGCTTCTTGTTAATGCAGATCCTGGGAGACAGTGGTGAAGGCTCTTGTAACTGGGCACATGAGAGACCTGGATAGAATACCCAGTTCCCAGCTTCATCCCAACCCAAGCCCAGCCATTTGTGGAGTGCACCAATGGATAGGAATTCTCTCCCCCCTTCTCATGTAAATATATTTTAGTGTTTATTGTAAAAATTCATTAGAAATGCATTTATACTTTGAAAAACTGTGTGGATTTCAAGCAGTTTTTTTTTTTGTTCCCAAATAAAAGTAGCTTTGAATTCCATTTTCTCCATGAGCTTCAAATGACAAACATATTAGGGAAGACATCTGACTTAGGAGTGTAAGACTGAAATAGTCCACTGACTTTTTCCATAGACGGTGACAGACACAGAAACCATAGAGTGGAATGGGTGAAGGTAAGGAAATTAAAAGAGTGAATACCGAAGATATACCAGTGGTTGTGGCAGAGTAACTATGGATACAAGTTTGCTTCTATTTTTACCACTTAAAAATGGAATTGATTTGCTTCTCTTTGATTCTGGGCTGGTTCTAACTTGTCTGACCCAATGAATGTAGCAGAAGTAATGTTCTGGGATTTCCTATACTAAGTCCTAAGAAGCCTTTTAACTTTTGCCTGAGCTTTCTGGAACCTAGGATGTGAAGCAGCTCAAATAGCTAGCTGGGGTGTATTCTTCGGCAAGTTATTAAATTTCTTAAGACTCAGTTTCCTTATGTGCATAGTGATAAGGACTCAGTAGTTTCTAGTTGCTGCTTTGTGATGATTCTCTGCTTAATGTATATTGGAATGAATTAGGCAGTATAAACGGAGATAGGGTTTGTCTTATTTTCTCTTTTATAAAGGAATGTTTGTGTAAGATTTTCAGACGGTAATAATTTTAGTGGTATTTTTTATCTTATAAGCCTAATCACTAGTCAACTAAAATGTTTATAATCAGACTTCTCTGGGGGAATAAATATGATGTTGTGGCTTGGGGTACAGTGTGGGAGGCTCAGCGGTGATATTTTCAGTTACTTTGCTATTTAAGTAGCTCTTCTCTGAAGTTACAAATAGCTGCTCTCTAATATGATTCTGAGAATCACCACCTCCACAATCAGAGAATTAAATTACCATGTTCATCCAGTAACTGTTAGAACCCCGAAGAGAGGGTCTCAGGAAATACCACTCTCAGATCAAGTATTTGTAAGAATGGCATTTTAAGGAGGAATTTGTGTACGCATATGGCCAATATTTTATCTCACTGGCACAATTCAAATGAGAGAAAATATGTAAAGACAACCAAGACACCCAAGTTATGCGGCAACTTGCTTCCAGATCCCGTTTCCCAGTCTCCATGATCTCATTCGGATCTGTTTTCACATGTATCTCAGTGCGCTTGCATTTCCCAGGCATGAGGAGACTGGAGAGTCTTTCCAGTTTCGTTTCCTGGGAACCCCCTCCCCAGCGGTTTGCACAAGGGGGAAGGGAACATTGCCCCAGTTGCTCCCAGAAATCTGAGTTGCTTGGTTGCATGTTTTCCATCAGCTGGGATAAGATGGGCCGACACATGCTGAGAGGCAGCCCAACTGATCCCTCCAGAAAACTGATAGATGGCAAAATCCCAGCCTTACTTGAGTCTTTGGTCAGTTCCAGTCACTTCACCCCTTGATTTCTTGGAAAAATGATTTTTCTGGATCCAACCATTGGAGAACCATTTTCCTAAGGCCTCTCATCCAGGAAGAATTATACATGGCTGCAAATGATGTTTCATGCTGAGTCCTTTATTGATAGACATCAGCCCTCAGTGTTAGAACACAGGAAATGGGATTAACTGAACAACTGAGCATGCAGAGTATTGTCTTTAATCATATCTCCATCGCCCTTTATAGTCTATTCAGATCCCTGGAAAAGGTCTAATATTTTAATGATTACAATATTCCCTGAGAATATCAAATGCACTTGCAAAGTTACAGAAATAATTGGAACTTGACAAGAAAAATTAGTTTCCATTCATTTTAATTAAAAGTTCCATTTTCTGCATAATTTTATTAAATGGAAAATAATATAATGCTTAAAAAATTGATCCATAAAACACCAATCCAATATTTGAATAGTGTTTCCTTCCTGATTCTCCTAAGAGCAACAAATTTCTAAACCTCTCCATTGGAATGTCAAATGAAATAGACAATATTCCTAGCACAGAATCGAACAAAAGCAAGTGACTCAAATCATGCTGAAGTTATATATGAATCTCTATAGTGCCACTCCTGAATCATACTCATGTGGAATCCTTACTCTCCTGGATAATGAGTACAGAAAGACAAAATCCCAAATCACAACAACTTGTTAACAGAGTGACAGCGGCTGTGATATTTTCTTTTAACTCAGCCCTTCTCCCTCTCTTATGGAATGAACAAGAAAAGACACATGCCTACTTCAGAGGCATATATACACAAAATATAATAAAATAAAATTTAAAAGGCTGTAAAAACAAACAAGACAGCTACAGTCTGCTTCACTTAACTGAATTGGTTTACTTATGGTGGCAATTCAAAAACATTTTTAAAAGCCCAATACCTTTAAATATTTCATTGACATTATTAGCATATTAGCATAGTATGGTATCATGGAATTTTGAGGCAGGATGATGATGATGATGTAACTATGTACAATATTTTCCTTTAAAGTTATGTCATGTTCTTGGGTAACTTCTACCTCCCTTTTATACAATACAACTTGGCATGAAATGGTATAGAACTAAGATACAGGAAATTTTTTATTTTGTATTCTCTCTTGAAATATCATTAATATATTTCCATTAGTGACATCAACAGGACTTAAACTGGGCCCATGAGATGCTAGTTATTCAGATTTAACCATTAAGACATCTTTGATTTTATTCAGCCCAACCTTAAAGATTTCATGTCAATGATTCCTAATTTCATTAGGGGTCTTTTTTAACAAGCCAAGAACCAAAATATGTCTTGTAGTAAACAGTTTTATTTATGGTGGAATTTCCAAAATTTTTCATATCTTGAAATTATCCACAAAGTACTGTTCAGTGCTTACATTTAAAAATGCATTTCTTATAAGAAAATGATTAAAATATATAACATTAGGCAGTATTGCTATATTTTTTATTTAATACAATATAACCAAAGATTAAAGAGAAAGGCAGAAGTTAAATATATTTAAATTCCTTGTAACTGACTTCCAGGTGTTCTAATGTTTAAGAAAAAATAAGATCTAAACATCAGGCATAATATTTTGATTACAATATTTATATATATATATATTATATGTAAGTTAAGCATTGCAACAAGCTACCTTCAATAAATGGCCTGCTATCAGAAACAATATTATTGGAATTATGCATCTACAGCAAAGAAGTATTACTTGCAATAGTGGCTTTTTAGTTAAATACACTTTCTTATAAAGAGGCAAGATAATATTTACAAATTTACAGCTGGAAAGGAATCTTTATATACAGGTTGTCTTGATTTTGGATTTTTGGGCCTCCTTGCCCCTGTGTAACAGGCCTGGAAGAACTGATCTGGACTAGACATCTAGTTCATAGCACATGATAGACAAGCCGGGAACTAGACGCCCCTGGCGTTGCAGGCTGGGAATCGGTGCTGGCGACTGGGGAGAGAGAAGCCGGGTCCTGGAGAGGCAAGCCGGGTTGCTCTGAGGAGGTGATCCGATCCACTATGCTGGATAAGCAATCCAAGCTGGATAAGGAGCTTTTATCTGTGGCATAGACTAAGGATATAAGGAGAAAAACATTAAAAAAAAAAAAAAAAAGAGCCGCAGGGAGACAGACTTGCTTATGTTTAATTGTGGGTCTTCTGTGACATCACAAGTCAGGTGGTCACAGATAGCCTGATGCCGAAATCTGCAGTAAATGTCTGTCAATTCCTGGGACAACCTGGAGTCAGAAAGCCCCAGTAATATTTTAAGCAAAAGTGCGCATGTGTATATCTGTGTGTGCACGTGTGTGTGTGTGTGTGTGTGGTAGAGGAGTTTGGAGCATAAACTTTATTTGGCTCTGCCAGAGCCTCCCCTGAGCACCATTATTCCAGTGCCACCCCTAGTATCGCCTGGAAGAACACACTGCTCTGACAGGCTAAATGTGAGGTTGAATCAGTCTTTGCGCATCTCTGCAATGATCTGTTCTTACCATTTGATACATCAGGACAGTAGACACTGTCAAAACTGCTGCTCTTCCTGGACCAGACAGGGCTGTTGCATTCAGGCTGTAATACAAAACACAAAAGAACTCTGTTTTCAGGTCTTGGCGAAAGATGCTCTGACCTGGGGTGGGGCAGTGCTTGGCCACCAGCTCTGTCCACTGAGCATCCGGCATCACCTTCCTTTGCTTGGTTTAGGAAGGCTCAGCCCTCCCCAAATTGCCAGGGCACCAAGGTCAGGCTCTGTGCTTGATGAAGAGGAGAGCAGCAGTAAGGCAAGTGGGGGGGGGGGGATTCAGCAGCAATGTGCATGGGGTTAACCATGCAAAATGGATTGGAGCAGAAGGAAGCCACACTAATTCAGGGAGAAAACGTTTTCCCAGGGCAAAAACACATTAAAAGCTGGCAGCGCTGGAGCAAACGTTGTCTGAAAAGAATGCATCAACATCTACCAGCCAGGCCTCTGCAGAGCAAGGGACTGGGGCCGTGCTAGCCTTTCTTTCCATTTCTTCATTAAGTTCGTGGTAAGCACACAACAGGATCCACTGGTGCTTTAATTTTTGGAAATAAACTGAAGAATGGAGAAAATATCCAATTGATCATTCACAGCCCTCCCACCCCCATCTCACATGCCAGCTCTCTCCTACAAGGTGCCCCCAGAACTTGGAAGGAAGTCAGATTGAAATCTTGTTCCAGAGTTGTTTCTTGGACCTTTCTAACTGTGCACACCCCTCTTGAGCAATTCAGCACCCCACACGCTGCACCTGCTTAAAGGAGGTTGTTGGGACTTTCAGGGAAGATTGGGCTAGGCGTGGTTAGGCGCCAGCCCTGGGGCTTACCATGCCGTCGGAGCAGTTGGACGTGGGGCTGGTGGGCTCCGAGCAGCTCTGCCCTGGAAGGCTGTAGTAGTTCTCCACCTGCTCTCTCAGCAGCTCCTGAAGGCTCTCGATGTAGCGGATGGCATTCCTGAGGATCTCCACCTTGGGCAGCCTCTGGTTGGGGTTGGTGGTGGTGCACCTCTTGAGCGTCTCGAAAGCCTGGTTAACCTTCTTCAGACGTCTGCGCTCGCGCATGGTGGCCGCCTTCCGCCGATCCATGGTGGTGGACTTCCTCTTGCAAGCTTTGCAGGCCCACATGAGGCAGTGGCCAGCCTGGTGGTGGCCCGTGGGCGCCCGCACGTGCTCGTCCTCGTCCGAGCCTGGCAGCTCTGCTTTGTGTACCCCAAAGGCAGCCACTCGAGGCTCGAACTCGTCCCCAAACTCACCCTCCGGGGACGGGATGCAGGAGCCGTCGTAGAAATACTCAGAAGGCGAGAACTGGCAGCCGTCCATCAGGTCCATCCTGCAGAGGGGGCAGGCGGGGCACCTGGGTGGCAGCGAGACACAAGGGGGAGAACTGGAGGCTGGAGCCGCCGCGGGCCGACAAATCCCAGGCGCAGCTCCGGGGTTGGCTTCTCCGGTAATTAACAAGGGCAGTTGCCTGCCGGCCTGGGTCGGAGGGCTGAGGTTGGGACTCCTTATATAATCCTGGGGCTTGGGGGGAGGGAGGCCGGCCCCCGTGGCCGGGCACCATTAGCATATCCCACCGCAACCCTCGCGGGGGTTGTCTAGCAAACCTCCGCCTGTCCCCTAGAGACAATTTGCTGTTTACTGCCCATTTTGACGCTAATGGTTTTCCTACATTTCTGCTGGGCACGGGGACCGCTCCTCAGCCTGCTCTCCCGCACTCTCTCGATAACCTAAGTCCAGGGGTCACTTAAAACATAACAAAAAGAAGAGAGCAAGTCCAGTTTTTTTTTTATTTGCTTTTGCTCACACAGTAAAAAAAATTAATGATATAATTAATAATGAATAGAAACTCTCCACTTTCAGTTGCCACCAAAAGCCACCGGCTTGCCCTCCTGATCCGGGACATGAGAAATCATCTGATTTCTAAGGGTTTGTATCTTTTTTCAAGAACCTTAATTTTCTCAGGATTTTTTTTTTCTAGGTGAGCGCACTGCATATCGGTTGCTAAAACTTGAAGGGGGGATTCCAGTCCTGGAGTAAACCTGGGGTTGGTTATTTTAAGTCGACTTTGTAGAGCTCGGGATGTTCCCTGTTCGGATCTGAGGGTCAGCTTCACATTATTGGAGGCAGGTGGGCTTGGACCTGCCCCAAGACAGGTTTGGTCTTGGTTCTTCCTGCACCTCTGCCAAATCTCCAAGGAGGTGGCACAGGGGGGCCAGATGCTGGGGGATGTTCCTCCCTTCCTGGCTTCCTTCCTTTCCCACCCCTGCAAGTGTTAGCTGAGCGCTTCCTCCTTTGTGCAGGGCCTTTGCTGGACCTTGAGCAGGCCCAAGCCCCACAGGCCAGTGCCTGTAAGCTGTGCAGTGGAGGAAGCCCAGGGCGGGTCTCCTTTCTCCTTCTCTTTCCCCTCCGCCCTGTCATTTCCACAGACTAAACAGCCAAGCTGGGCTCTGGCGTCGCTAATTTTCTGCTTTCAGGCAAACTAACACCGTTACAGATGCGTCCCAGCTGCCGGCCCCCGCAGTCCTGGGCTCGTGTAAAATTTCCAACTCCTCAAAGCCCAGTCACTAACTTCACACACTTAGGTGACAAAAGCCTCAGGAAAAGCAATCGCAGCAGGGTCTTTGAAACTTTGGTGGGGAGAAGGCCAGAGTGCAGGGCTGCCATTTAAATGAAAATGATTCCATTAACTAGTGTTCACCAGTCCTGGCTGCCAGTAGCCCACTTTGAGATCTCCGGGAGGTGGGGAGGTGCTGATCCTATTTATTCAGGAAAAACCATTACTTCGGATCTACACAAATAGGAGTCATCTGGGGTTTTGGCACCAGGACTTGTCCCCCATTAAAATCAAAGAGGGAAGGCTCTCCACTGGACCCAGGGCCATCTAGCTGTGGCTCCAACGTTCCCGGACGGGAGGGAACTTTCCCTTGTATTTAATTTTTGCAAAAATAGTTTTCCTAAAGCATTCCTGGTTAGCCAATCTGTTATCTGCAGGGGCCTGGAGGAGCCCTTTTGTTTTCATGTGAGACTTTGTGTTGGAAGTACAAGCTCCAAAACCCAGAGGTGGAAGAGTGACAGCGTGAGTGTCCATTGCCAGCTCTCTTCTGTCCCATCATCCCTAAGACAAAGATCCCTGGGGACAGTCAGGCTCCCTGTTGCATCAGTGGGAAATCTGTTCCCTACCTAGGCATGCTTACAAACTCGCTTCGTTTGAAATGACTAAGTGCCTCTGGCTGCACAAGGGTCCAGTTCCTCATGGAGCCAGTTTCCTCCACTCCAGGCTGGTGGAAACATCAGAAGGGCAGAGCACACTGCTCGCTCTCTCTGAAATGCAAAACTGGACAGATATTCTTACCCAGGAATCCTCAGCCAAGGCCGCTGGTTCTGGTCAGCCACTACAGGGCCACTGTTTTCTGACTGTACAGTGCACACGTGTACTAGCACATTCGGCGCTGCTAAAACAGGCTCAGGATTTGCACACAAGGAAAATTTGACAGGAGAAGCGGGGATACTTTTCTGCCTGCCTTTCAGCTCCTTTTACTTTGTGTGTTTCGTCCCAGGTCCCCTCCGAGGGAATGGAATGTTTGTAGCTAACAATGGAGAGTTCTCCATTTGCCAAACACAGCTCTCAAGGCTTCTCAACTATGAACTAAGTTCCCGCAGCGGCCCGGGCGGGGAGCTAGTATGTGGACCCATTTTGAAAAGAAGGCAGAGCGAAGCTGGAGGAACTGGACAATTTGTCCCAGGTCACAGCAGGAGGAAAGGAGGCAACCCGGCTCGAGAGTCCCGCTCCTGGAGGGAATTCTTTTTGTCGTCTTCATCTTCTTCCATCAGTTCGGGCTCAGCGCGCTCCCGTGGCGCCCCGGAGCAGAGCCGCTGGCTGCGCGGCATCGGCTCGCTGCCTGCGAAGACGCTGTCAATCAGGAGCCTCCATCGGCGGCGACGGTAGAGCTCGGACGTTGGGACGTCCTTTGGTAAGGTGATCTCAAAACAGTTACCGGAGTGCCGCGGGCCAGTGGAACTAAAGCAGCCAAGACAACAGCAGCGCCCCGCCGCTTAATGAGACTTGCGAGAGGGGTCCTGGGTTGAGGGCCCTTGGGACTCAAGTGCTGAAAATCGGATCTCAGGGCACCGAAGTGAAAAAAAACGAGACAAAACTTTTAAAGCGCTGTCAGGGACGCGAGAAGAAAAAGAAGGGGGAAAAAAAAACCCACGGAGGCAGTGTGCCAAGAAGTAGGGAAAACCAGCGCTCAGAGGTGACTGGGGGCCCCCAATGAGCAGGAGCCACTGCCTTTCCTAGGGGACACCTGGAGAGAGAAAAATGGGCAACTGAGTGAACGATGTAGAGAAAAATACTGGTAGAGGCGGGTGGGAATTAAACCGAGAGGTATGGGAAGAGTTAAATTGTGTTTAAAAAAATAAACTAGCTATCAGCAGAGGTCTTGTACTCAAAATTAGTAGATTGACTTCTACTCCTGGCACAAAGAATGAACATGTCATCTGTTTCCCACTATTTCGGCAGCACAGTGCATTTCTGGCATCGTGCACATTTATTTAAAATGTGAACGATCGATCAGGATTTTTAAATCCTGCACTGTCTCTTCGGAAAGCCTCCCAGTGGGTAGGCAAAAGGGGAAAAAAATCCACATAACAAAAGACTCAGCCACATCCAGTGTGATAAGTGAATACCCACAGATGTTGTGTGAAACGGGTAGTTTATTTCATTTGCTTAAATGTTATGTTCTGAGCAAAAATAAATGCAAGTTTCATTTTTCTCCTAACGTAGACTTATAAATGAGTTTCAGTTGCAACGGCTTCTACTGAACTTTTTTCTCTTTGTTGAATCTATTTTAGTTAAAGCATTATAGCAGCCAGCTCGTGTTGATGGACAGACCACACCAGCAAGCTATGCTCAGAGCTTCCTTGCCTAGTAAATTTTGCCCACCCTTGGAATTCTGTTTTCTGGAAAATTCCCCACACCTCTCTATTTTCTTTTTAAAGGGAGAAAGCACATAGACATAGAATGACAAAATCCATTTCAATTCGCTTCTGTCTCTACCTGCAGACACTTAGGAACTCCTGGAGAAAGGGAATAATTGCTCTTGAGACTACTGCTTGTTATAGATGACTTCACAGTGTGCTAAACAATTTCAAACTGCTGGTAGCTCTGGGAAGCAGGCACACCTAAGTAAACACATTAGTACCTGCCAGAGCTGCGGGAAGACTTGTGGAGAAGACAGCTGAGGAAGACATTGGCCTCTGCTTGAATTCCAAGGCTCCCAGGAGAGATCAAAGACCCAAGGAAGAGCATTTAGCAGCCTTGAGAGTAGAAAAAGTAGCCAGTTCTTCCAGCATTATCTTTGTTCCAGCACATGGCATAGCCATTGCATCTCACAGTCTGCCTCTGAACGAGGCTTGCAAGAAACTGCTTGCTTTTCCAGCGTGAAACCTCAAGGGCCGAGGATCATCTAAGTTTAATCAGTTTGAGGGAGGACTGGAGGGACTTGTGGGCAGCGTCCCTCTTTGTGCTGTTTAACCAGTGCAGTGGATTAAACAACGAGACATTCTAAGTCTAAAGCAAAAGAGCTTTTAAATACCAAGTACGGTGTTCTAGGAGGGGGGTTTACAATGAAGAAATTGGATAAAATATTAGTAGAGGAAAAGGACAAACGAGTAACTCTTTCTAAGTAAAATGTGTCTTAATAAGGACAGAAGTCACTTTCAGCATGCTAAGTTTTCTCTGTCAGTTTCCCAGAATAGTTAAGAACACTGAATTTCAGCACACCCCCAACACCAAAACACAGGAAAGAGGCTGAGCAAAGAGGGAGAAGAGAGACTATTTGACATAAGGGGATTTTCACACTGATGGCACTTAGAATTCAGTGGCCCAGGTGTGATGATTAAAGTTAGCTTAAGAAAACTGACCTTTGAAATCCCACAAACTATTTCTATGGTAACATAAGCAGAGAAAATCACTCATTATTTTGTGCTTGATAACTTTATACCTGCCTCGATAAAGAGGCTTGGCTTCAATCCCAAATTGCTTATCTTAACCAAGTTATTATGTCTTGATTTTCTGCTTCCATAGTCCTGTTTGTTTTGGCTTTGGCCTTGGCCAAGATTATCATCATTAATATCAAACAAAAACAGTTTAATTGCAAACACACCAAGGATTTCATTGGAAAGTCTAACATGTCAGCTATAGCAGTTGAGGTCACATGAAGTCTTTGGGAAATATTTGCTCTATTTAATGAAGAGACTTCTGTGGGCAAACGTACTCCAAACAATTTCTCAAGTTACCCAGCAAAGAGAGGTAGAGAGGATTGTGTTTGCAAAGACCAAATAAAATCTATCAACAAGTCCATGGATTGATAAAAGCATTCTGCGGTTGTGCTGTTTATAACACAAATCTTGTTATGAATGAATGTGCAGTCACGGAGCAAATGATTTAACCTGGTCAGATGCAATACTTTTTTGTTTCAGATGCATAATGAATTTGGTATTTTAAATATAGATGTGTACACATGCATCTTAGGGAAAATCTCTTTTGGTTCTCAGAGACAGAAGAATCACAGATATATATAGTAAAGGTGGTTTATGGGTGTGCACAATACCCAGACCTAGCCACACATGTTTTGCTTGGATTTTGGCAAACGCTTTCTCACTTATTCTTAATTAAATTACTGCTCTAATTTGGAGTTCACAGCTAGCTACTCTCGAGAAAGAGATTTCTGAAAATAATTTTCGAAAAGAATCATATCATTCTATGGACCATCCAATGTTCTTTAGTAACTTCTCAAGGCTTCACTTTCAGCGTGCCTGGTGGCTGATTGCACAGGCTTGAAGCCACTGACAGTTGCATGGCTGCCTGCCGGCTCCATGCTAACCCGGTGGAGGGACCTCGGTTCCGAAGGAGCTTCTTTTTAGTACCTCTCTTGCTGGCTATTGGAGGAGTAGGAGTTCCTGTGTAAAACGCCAGGACTCACCTTGCTGATGTCACTGTTAGGAATACTGTCCCCAGTGAGAGCGCTAACTAAGGCCTTAGGAACTATGCCTTTGGGTGGAAGGAAAGTTTCTTGGTGTTGCATTTGGATTTTACTAATGACAAACAGCGCGTGAAGACTGCTAGTGTTTACTTTGTGCCCCAGTTTGATCAAGCACTTTACATGCATTACCTAAGTGAATCTGCAGGAACTAGGCACTATGACTGTGGTCCTCATTATTTTATAAATGAGGATACAGGGAGTACCGAGGAGCCCAGAACACCACACATTTACTCTAGGGAGTCAGCCGCAGGGGCTCAGCAGTTTGCATCCACTAAGCCTCCCACCTGTTTTGTAACTACAGGACAGACCGTTCCTAATTCAAACATCCTAGGTTTGTTGAGCACTTTTTTCGCATTTTATATTTTCAGGTTGAGGATGCTCAGCCAGTAAAATCTATGCCAAAATTTCAAAATCTGAAAACAGTGAAATCTAAAACGCGTTGTGTCTCCAGAATTTCGCACAAGAAACACTCACAGGAGTATCCCAAGGATGGCCCACAGGAAGAGACAGACACTGGGCAAGATACCGCTCCACACCTGCAGGGGGGTGCTGCCGTGGAGCACCGTAGAGGGCCCAGCCCTTGGGTTTGGGGTTAGCAAAGTTAGGCTGGGGGTGCTGAATTCGATAGGCTTTTCACATATATAAACTGAAGTTGAGCGCTGAGGGAGAGGGGGCAGAGGTGAGTTAAAGGCAGGGGGGAAGGGGTGGGGGGGAGCTTTACAAAATGTAAGAGGGACTGTAAGTGGGTTGCTCCTCTGGGCTGCACTTCCTATGCTGTTTCTTGGTGGTCTTTTCTTCCTGAGGTTACAGGATAAACAAACCTGGCACACGTTGTAAAATCCTCATGGCCAGGAACTCCTGGGGCTTGAGCCTCTCTGGGGCTTTGCTGTTCGGCCCAGCTAAGAGGTTTCATGTGTGTTGTTGTTGTCTTTTGCCCTCAGTATTTAACCCTTATCTCTCTTGAAGCAACCTGCCCTTCGAAGAAGCCACACCCCTCCCTCAAGAGACAGCTCGCCCCCTTCTTTTATCTTCCTGTTGGGAAAATAAATCCCAATCAAAGGAGGCCTTGAGGTTACTCCTCCCTGCTAAGGACCAGTCTAGTTCAAGAAAACGGGGGAGGAGGCTGGGGCTGGCCACATCAACACTTCAGGAAGGGAGCGGCCTGGGACATCAAAGACCAAGTAATTGGGGCAACATCAGCTGAGGATCTCTTAGGGAGGGGAAGTTTCTCCTGTGGTCAGTTTCTTGCAGCAGGATTTTTACCAGATTGAAAACCCAGTGAACTTTGTACAATTCACTCGGCTTTCCAGGCAGTGAAAACAGAAAGAAAAAAACCAAAAAGACTCCTGTGGCTTCTTCACTTCCAATAGTCTGATCTAAAGGAACTTTGCGAAAAGTGTCAAGTTTAATTCAGACAAAAGAAAACAACCCATTGTTCTCCCTATTAGCCTTAAGAAAACACCCAAATAAATGGGCTTGGATAAAGTCTAAATGAAAATACATCCCTTTTATTTTTGCACACGTGACCTCAAACATAACTTTATCAAATTAGGACCAACTTGGTTCATGTAGAAACTCAGTTTTAATATGACAACACCAGGATCCTCACACATTTTATATACATCATTCCACAGTTAAAATATACTTAGATTTACATAAAAAATGAAAGTACTAAGACTATTTACAAAAATACAGTAAATACCACTAAGATGAAACACAACTTTCCCACTTTGCTTTAGACAGGAATGAACTTCTTTTCAATCTGGCACGAAAGGATCACCGTAATAAAAGTTAATATATTACAAAATCAAACACGAGAACAAAGGGCGCTAGACCTAAGCCGGTCGCGGTTCCAAAAAAATTAAAAGCCCACAGCGGAAAGGCTTTTGTATATGAGCGTGCACAACACTTTCTTTGTGAAGATGGCTCCTTCCCTGGGTTCCTAAACATGAATGCAATGCGCCCTAACCTAAAGGATTAGGGGAAGGCAGGTGGGAGGGATCTTCCTGCCGCGTGGAGAGGGTCCCAAGCGCCGGCCGGGCGTTACTTCTCCACCACCTCCTCCGCACAGGGGAGTTTGCGCTCCTCGGAGGAAATGCTGTCCACGATAGAAGAGAGGCATCGGAGGCTACTCGAGGCAGATGAGTCCACGCTTGTTCCTCCTGTAAGCAAGAACAAACACACGCAAACATAGCACCCAGGAGGGGGAGAACCAGGCGGCTCTGCTGCGCCCCGCGCGCGAGGCCGCCTCGGCGGGGCAGCGGGGCGGGGACCCTGAGCGCAAAGGGCGCCCTTGTCCCTGGGGCGCGTCCTAGCTCTCTCTGGGAGTCCTTTTCTGCCCGGGACGATGACCCCAGCCCCCTGCCCGCGGGATGGTCTCAGTCACAGCCCGGTGACCTTTGCTTTACTTTACCTTCTTTAGCCGTTATCACGAGCCCCCTGGAATGATCCGAAACACTTGGCCACTGGGAGCTGCAGGTGCGCAGGAAATCCGCGCCCTCAAGCTGGAGGGGAAAAATCAAGGCAGCGGCAGATTAGGAAAGAAACAAATTCCGGGGAGTGGAGGGGAGGGGGCCGTATGGGGGTGTCTCCCCTGCTTCCTCGGGCCGGGTGCGCATTTCCTGCCTATTGCAGGGACCCTGTCTTCTGGGTCACTGGGGGTTCACTAACGAGGGAGCGGGAGGGGAGGGCGTGTAAGGGGGAAGGGAAAAGAGCAGCTGGAGGTGAAGTCCCCGAGGGAGGAACTTAATCAGCCTTTGCATTTCCCTGGGAGGCATCAGCGTCGGGGCTTACAATTTCTTGCTTGGGTCTGTAGCTGAAGGGGTCCACCCCTAGCTCCTGCATCTTCTCCTGCTGGTCCAGTCTGTGCAGCAGGTCCTGCAGCCGCTCAATGTAGCTGATGGCGCTCCGTAGAATCTCCACCTTGGGCAGCCTCTGGTTGGGGTTGGCCACAGTCCTCCGCTTTAGGGCCTCGAAGGCCTCGTTGATTTTCTTGAGCCGCCTCCTCTCCCGCAGGGTGGCAGCTTTCCGCCGGTCGGTGGGGGCAGATTTTCTCTTGCAGGTCTTACAAGCCCAGATCAGACATTGGCCGGGGCAGTGGGGAGGCTGCAGGCCGGGGGGCGCCAGTACGTGTTCCTCCCCGCTGCTGTCGCTCCCGGCTTCCGGGGGTATTTGGTCCTGGCAGGGGGACAGGGTCCCATCACTCCCTGGATACAAAGGAGAGCCCTCTGCCACTTCTAGAGGCTGCAGAGTAACGTTTTCCCCATCCAAGTAGAAGAAATAGGAGCCAGTTTCAAAAAGGTCCATCATCATGTTCTCCTCCTTGGCTTCTGCCTTGGTCTGAACTGGGTGATGGACTCAAAAACCCGGAGGAACCACCCAGATGGCATTTAATTAGTGCGGTGACATAAGTCGACCCGGCTTTATATATAGCAGCTCCTGAAACTCAATCCAACTCTTAGCTGTCATGGAGCAGCGGTCTCCCAATGTGATGACTGCTGGTGCTCTCTAGAACACGTAGTTTGAAAGAAAACTGAGAGGTGTCACCTTCCAGAATGATGTGGCCTCTATATGGAGGAGGCTGGAAGGAAGTGCACAGAGAGAATCACACAACTTAAAGTATTGGACTTTGTTTCCATTTGGGACGGTTTAGATGCTAACCTGCTTACAGGACAACTTCAAAACAACTGGGGATTAACGCGCCCGGTCCCCTCCCCCTGGGCTCATCTGAATTCTAAGTATAGACCCATGATGAAAGATTTCAAAGGCAATAGCCATTGCTCCAAAATAGCCTGGTTAATATTTGCGGAGTGGTTCAGCTCTTGTCTCTTTCCTGCCTGTCAAAAAGATGCTATCTATGCCTGTGGTTAAAACCATTACAGTCCTTCAAACGTTATGCATGATTTTCAGGCTTCAGCCTCAGTAGCAGCAGGTAAATCTTTCTCTTTTCCTAAGGCTGTGAGATGATTTGGGAGCCGGAGGGGGTGGCTGAAGGGTGCTCATGTTCCATGTTATTGCGTGAAATGACTTTCTGGATCTTTCCATAGAGACCATCCATAGCTGTCTTTGATTCTGGAGAGGAACAATCAAGATCAAGATCTGATATGTACATGGGGTGTGCATATGAAGTAAGGGGTGGGATGGAGGGTGGAGACATGGAATAGCTCTTCCTTTAATGTATCTTAGTGGAAACAAGCTCCTTGCTATTTCGGGATTCACTTGTGGCCCACTTCACGTGCCTCTGTTAGAGCCCCTGTCCTACCTGCTGTGTGCTCACTGCTTTTTCATTAGCATTCTCACTTCCACTGGCTCCAAATAAGTTAATTGGGCCCAGATGAGCAAGGCAGTAACGTAGTCACAAGCAAGGAAATAGAATTTTTGATGTCAGCTTGTCCATGGTTCAATACACACGTGTGGTTCTTTGGAAGGCTATGCAGTACAGAGGTGAAGTTTAGGGGCCCTGGATTCCGAAGATCATTCAAGTCCTAGCCAATGGAATTAGTGGAATATTGATATCTATATGTTCACGAATAAGAATTATGTTCCAGTTTCTTCAAGGTAGTAGTGGTTGCTTTATAGAGTTTTGGTGACAATTTACTTGGATACCAGGCACGTGGAACATATAGCTGCCTGATTAGCATTAGTTACCTCTTAGAAAGCTTTATGTCAAAGTTAGGATCAATTCTTAGGAAGGTGGTAAAACATAGCTGTTGGAAACGTTTTGCCCCCTTCTCTTTGGTTTTGTTCCCCTCTCCCCTTCCCTTTCTTTCCTTTCCTCCTCTTTTTCATCCTAGAGTTCTGGAAGGACTCCTTCTACCCGAAAATAGCCAGTAGGATGATAGTCAACCTTGGTTTTGGCCTTTATAATCAGTGCTGGAAAACAGTTATGGAAACATCTAGTCATCTTATTAGCACCTCAGGCAGTGATGATTATGTTATGTTCCCTATGATTTCATTTTTTTAGGAATGATTAAAGATGATGCAAGTAATCAATTGTTAGATAATTTAGGAGCTAGCTAAATGTTTGACTCAAACTGATTATTCCAGAGGATTATTGTTCACGGTATCTGTTGAGACAGACTGAGGATTTTACATTCTGACACTTCGGGCTGTTTTGTTTTTGGTGTGCAGTTGCATACTTCTTAGCAAGTCTGAGAACTTTCTTGGGTTTCACAGATAGTAAGAAGCACAGGGAAGTGTAATAATAAGTCTATATTTCTTTTGTGATACGTTCTTCCATTTCCATCGGTCCCCTGACTGCTAGAGTTAACAATGAAGAATACAGGTTGAAGTCATCAACAACTCAGGGTATAAGCTAACGTCCCTTATGGAATGTTAGCTTGTACTTTTAACCACAATCTATGCTGTTGCTTATAAATGTGAAGACAAGTGGAAAAGATATTTTTTAACCAGTGGACTTTAAAAAAAAGATTTTATTTATTTATTTGAGAGGCAGAGTTACAGACAGTGAGAGGGAGACACACAGAGACAGGTCTTCCTTCTGCTGGTTCACTCCTCAAATGGCCGCAACAGCTGGAGCTACCCCGATCCAAAGCCAGGAGCCAGGTGCTTCTTTCTGGTCTCCCAAGCGGGTGCAAGGGCCCAAGTGCTTGAGCGAATTTCTGCTGCTTTCCCAGGCCAAAGCAGAGAGCTGGACTGGAAGAGGAGCAGCAGGGACTAGAACTGGTGCCACATGGGATGCCGGCACCACAGGTGGAGGATAAACCTACTGCACCACAACGCCGGCCCCACCAGTGGACATTGTATAAGATTGACTCTCCTGCTCCAGGACTCTCAAATCATTAAGAAAGCAATGACTAACATCCATTTATTCAAAATTTACTATGTACCTACTAATGCCAGGTGATTTCCAGGATGCCAAGAATAAACTAATAAAAAAAATTCCCTCTTTGAATTTGGATCTAGAGTGTTGAGTGAAATTGAAAAGGAGACAAAAAAAAAAAAAAAAAAAAAAGAGAGAGAGAGAGAGAGAAATAAGCCTGGTATTGAGATGTGGGAGGCCTAGAAACCAAATGGTTTTGAGCTGTGAGGACTTACTGTTTCCTATTATTTCAGATCCTCAGATTTTTCACTTATAAAATTGGAGAGAAAAAAGAAATCCATACTGGCAAGAGTTTTTATGAAGATGATATTTTCAATTATTTATTTGGTGGGGGGAGGAAGAGAGCGAGAGAGTAAGTGAGCATGAGAACTCCCCACCAATCCATTGGTTCACTCCTTAAATGTCTGCCATTGTTGGAGTTGGACAAGACCAAAGCAGGAAGCTGGAAAGTCAATCCAAATGGGTGACCAGGACCACTTCCTTCTGGGGTTTGCATTAGTGGGAAGCTTCAGTAGGGAGTCAGAGCCAGGTATCAAAGCTAGGCACTCTAGGTTTTTTGTTTTTGTTTTTTTTAAAATGTCTTTTGTTAATAATAAAAGTATTTTTGGCTATTTGTAACCATTATGGATTTTTTATGAATCTTCAAAATATATTTGGTATAGACCTTTATGTAATATGCACAAGATACCTTCCTTTTTCACATTTAAAAATTTTAAAAGTTGTTATAAAGAGAACAGATTTCATATATCTCCTAGGTACAATTCTAAGGAGATAATCATATTTCTTTTCTTCTCTCTTTCCGCCTTCCCTTAACACCTCTCCTTTCTTCATTTATTTCTTTAATTTTTACAAAAACATAATTTCAATCCACTCTATAATCACAGGCTTAATTCACCACTAACCATAATACCCAACAAGTAAAAAGTATAAAGACCACAGTTCCACAGCAGTATAAACAAGGGTGAAAAACAGCAATCAAATCATATGATGTCCATTTCATTCCTATACGTTTTTTTTGTGTGTTCTCTATTAAGTACCACATTAAGTATCTTTTTGGGACTGGCTTATGTCACTAAACGTAATGGTTTCCAGTTGCATCCATTTTGTTGTAAAAGACACGATTTCATTCTTTTTTATGGCTGAGTAGTATTCTATCGTGTGTATATACCACATTTTCTTTATCCATTCATCAGTTTATAGATACCTGGGTTGATTCCATATCTTATCTCTTGTGAATTGAGCTACAATAAACATGGGGCTGTAAATAACTTTGATATGCTGATTTTAATTCATTTGGGTACATTCCTAGGAGTGGGATGGCTGGGTCATATGGTAGTCCTGAATTCATATTTCTGATGTATCTCCATATTTTCTTCCAAAATTGTACTAGCTTATATTCCCACCAGTGGATTAGATTATCTTTTTTCCCACATCCTCACCAGCATTGGTTGTTTTTTGATTTTTGGATGATAGGCATTCTAACTGCAGTGAGGTAAAACATCATGGTGGTTTTTATTTGCATTTCCCTGATGGCTAGTGATCCTGAGCATTTTTTCATGTGTCTGTTGGCCATTTGTATTTCATCCTTTGAAAAATGGCTGTTTATGTCCTTTGCCCATTTCTTAACTGTGTTGTTTATTTTGTTATTGAGTTTCTTATGCTCTTAATAGATCCTGGATATTAATCCTTTATCAAAGTTGCATAATTTGCATTTTTTCCCATTCTGTCAGTTGCCTCTTAACTGTTGAGTGTTTCCTTTGCAATGCAGAAGCTTCATAACTTGATATAATTCATTTGTCTATTTTTGCTTTGATTGTCTGTGCTTCTGGGGTCTTTTCCAAGAACTCTTTGCCTATGCCAATGTCTTGCAGTTTCCCCAATGTTCTACTCTAGTACTTTGATGGTATCCTAACTGTTATCTGAACCTCTCAGCCAAATATCTCCCGCAGAAAATGAAAATTTTTAACATATGAAGTCGTTTAAAAATGTAGCATACTCTATAAACGTACTTTTATTAATGGAGTTATTTGGTATAGAGAAAAATGAGGTAAGAAAAATATCATTATTAGGCTGGCGCCACGGCTCACAAGGCTAATCCTCCGACTGCGGTGCTGGCACCCCAGGTTCTAGTCCCAGTCGGGGCGCCGGATTCTGTCCCGGTTGCCCCTCTTCCAGGCCAGCTCTCTGCCCTGGCCCTGGAGTGCAGTGGAGGATGGCCCAAGTGCTTGGGCCCTGCACCCACATAGGAGACCAGGAGAAGCACCTGGCTCCTGGCTTTGGATCAGCACGATGCGCCGGCTGCAGCACGCCGGCCGTGGGAGCCATTGGAGGGTGAACCAATGGCAAAAGAAGACCTTTCTCTCTGTCTCTCTCTCTCTCTCTCTCACTGTCCACTCTGCCTGTCAAAAAAAATATCATTTTAAAATTTGAAACTTGGGTGACAGAAGTAACATTTAGGCACTACTGTTTATTTTTTTTTTTTTAAAGATTTATGTATTTTATTTCAACGTTAGAGTTACAGAGAGAGGGAGAGAAATATCTTCCATCTGCTGGTCAAGTCCCCAAATGGCCACAATGGCCAGGGTTGGGCCAGGTCAAAGCCAGATGCCAGGAACTTTATCTGGGTGTCCTGCATGGGTGGCAGGGGCTCAAGCTCTTGGGCCATCCTCTGCTGCTTTCCCAGGTACATTAGCAGTGATTTGGATTAGAAGTGGCATAGCCAGGACTTGAACCAGCATATGTATGGGATGCTGGTGTCACAGATGGCAGTTTATTTATTAAAGATTTATTTATTTATTTGAAAGTCAGAAGGAGAGGGAGAGGGAGGGTGGAGGGGGGAGAGAGAGAGAGAGAGAGAGGTCTTCCATCTGCTGGTTCACTCACAGTTGGATGCAACAGCTGGAGCTGTGCTGACCAAAGCCTGGAGCCAGGAGCTTCTTCCCAGTCTCCCCTGAAGGTGCAGGAGCCTAAGCACTTGGGCCATCTTCTACTGCTTTCCCAGACCACAGCAGAAAGCTGGATTGGAAGTGGAGGGGCCAGGACTCAAACCGGCGCCCATATGGGATGCCAGCACTGTAGATGGTGGCTTT